CTTGGTCTGAAATAACTGGGGTGAGACACAGCCTCAGGCGGCTTCTCCCCAGAGGACAAAGCCTGGGAGGTGCCACGTGTTGTCCATGTTGCAGCCGTAACACTGACCGGGACCGGCCCCGATTCGCTGAGGCGATTTGAGAGGGCAGTTCAGGGCCAGTGGAGATACCAACTCTCCTGACTGTAGATACATACATCCTTTCTCCGTGGTTGGGGAAGAAGGGCTCCAACCAAGACACCCAGGGTCACGTGGGCTTCAGCAGAGCTCCCAGTGCAAGGCTATTTCCCCACAGACCTTCTCCCTGGAGAAACTTCTCATCCTGCTGGGAGGACTGGTCCCAGCGAGCAGGGCTGAGCCGTTCAGAGGAGCCCACAGACCGACAGGAACAACCTGGCTGAGAATGGGGCATCTTCAGGTCTTCCATCACATGCACTCCCCGCGCCGTGCCCGGCAGAGCGCCCGGGGAGCAGGGGACACGCGGGGGCTGGTCTGCCGGAGCCGCTCTGCGGGGGCCCGGACAAACAGATCAGCTGTGGGCGGATGTGGAGGCAGAACCGGCATCTCCGAGACCGGACGGGAGAGATCCATAGTCACCACTGGAGCAACACACTTGTCCTGCCAGGAGCTGCAAAGCCTGCGACCGCTGTTCCCGTCCTGACACCGGACTTCCCAGAGATAATCGGGTGCTTTGCAGGCACAGAAACATGGACAAACTCTACCTGTTGCACCTGGGGATGCTGCCGGAGGGACTATACCCATCACAGCGGTGTTCAGCTTTGAAACAAGTTGGGTTTGAAATACCAGCCTCTGCACTGGCTATGGGACTCCGTTTGCTGACCTTTCTGCACATGCTTGCCTTGTTTGTTTAAGGAAAGCCTTTTTTGCTACTAAACTGAAGAAACAACCATCATCCTTCAATATTATTTTAGTCTATTTATATAAAGGGTATCTCAGTGCAGACTTCAAAGGTCACAGGAAAACTCTGGGAGTTAATTGGCCCCATCGTTTCTAATACTGCCTTTGACATTGGGAAGATTCCTTGTTATTAAACCAGGAAAAGGCTCAGTTATTAGTATCTGCTACTACTTTAAGAAATGAAAATTTGTAGAAAGAGGTTCAGAACATGTAGCTCTTCAGCACAGCTAAGATGCCTTCCGCGCCCCGCGGAAAAGGCTGCGGTTTTGCCACTGGTGGTGGGTGAGCATCGAGAGGATGAGAGAAGTTAAGAAAGGCATTTGTGTTTATCCCTTTAGCTCCATGGGCGACCTTCACGTGTTCTCCCTGTGACCTTTAACTTTCATAAAGGTCTATTTCTGCAGGAGGGACACATCTTTGTTTCAGCACTTAACAAGCAAGGATTATTTGAAGAACTCTTAAGTAAAAAAAATAAGTTTTATATTTATACAATAGAATGTGTTTCAGATTTGCCAGCAAGATAGATTTGAAAGAGATCAAAAAATACTTGTACAAGTTCTGGAAGGGGAAGCTAAAAATAGCATTACTAACAGTAAAATCTGCATAGGAGGGAAAAGCAACACCTGAGCACACCCATGGCTGCACACAGCTCCGTAGCACATTCTCAGCTCTCCCCGTCTCCCCTCCGCAGCAGAGCTGGGCCACCAGCCGAGGGGACCCGTCCTCGCGGTCCCCAGCGGAGCGGCTGCCCAGGGACACGCGTGAAGCGGGAGCTGCTGCGTCCTCGGCAGCCGAAGCTGACAGCCCCCAAACTGCTGCGCCGACTGCACCAGCAAGGTGATCCTCAGACTGGGAGCGCTGGCGAGCCGTGCCTCCATTAAGGGATAAAGAAAATAAGGACTGGGTTATCTCTGCCGCCCAATCCAATATGTTCACTCTTCCATTGGATTCTATTGACCAGCTTCAATTGCCGAAGGGATTAACCTGGCTGCTCCCAGGATTTGTGTTTGGATTACTCTACAGGAGGAAATAAATAGTTGTAGGCTTGCTTTGGTGGGGGAAAATAGAAAGACCAAACTTACACGTCAAATCCATTCACTTGTTTTAGCAGCACATTAATGAATGAAGTTTAGACAAGCTCTTATGAGCCAAGAAAGCCCAGCTGGAATGAACAGTTCAGCGTGCTAATCCAGTTAGGGTTTCTATATTCATCTCAGAGGGTATTGCAATATCATTACTGCATTAAGGCGCAGCTACACAAAGCAGAAGGAGCAGAGGTTGAACCAGTGGGATTTTTGGTTTCATCAAGCCTGACATCTGAGATAACACATCATTTTCATCTCCATTTGAAAGCATTAATAACAATTTGTTAGTTCAACATGAATGCTTCAGGAAGAGGCTCCCAAATCCAAAAAAATATGCACCCAAATTAACTCCTGTTTATTAGGGAAGCAAGCACTATATTACTACAAGATGGGAAAGGATTATGGCAGTTAAAATCTCTGAAGTGAGGATGGTAGGGTACCATCGGGGATACGGCACGGATCTTGCAGAGGGGCAGCAGCTCTCCTGGAGGCTCAGCACCTGCAGACCTGGGGGACAGTCGGGGGAGGTGGGGACGGGGACCCGCTCCACCACGCTCAGGTTGGGCACTGCTCGCCGGGGCTGAGCGGAGATGCAAACATGCAGCATCGCACTGCGAGCCCTCCCTCTGGCTTTCTGCATCCTCAAGAGATTGGGACTCCTGCTGAGAAGCAGACAAGAAAATCTGATTTCTACTATGTGCATTTTCCCCAGATTTCACCATTTCCAGAAGTTCTGATGCATTCCCTAATGCTTTCAGTTACAAAACCAGTCCCTTCCCAGCTCATCATGCTGCCATCCAGTTACCCGTCCATGTGTACAAAGCCTCTGCCGGTGCCGGACCCTGTCAGAACGCACACACACCCCTGAAAGGATCGCGCCGGCACCCGACAGCGTTGTTTGAAAGCGCAGAGCTGCAAACCAGCTCAGCGTCAGAGCGCTGCAGTACCGAGCAGGACTGCTGGTTTGCTAGTTCGGTTGAGTTTCCCCGTGTGTTTGCTCAATGCCTTTAGCTGCTTTTCCTCAGGAAATACCCCCAAAGTGGGGGCATTTAATATCACGCACAGCTTCTCCTGCCACATTTGCCTCTCCTCGAGGGTAAGAAATACCTGTGGATCACCAGCCCACCGGCAAAAGCTCTTGTCTAAAAATAAAAGCGTTTGGAAGCGAGCAGGGGGGCAGGCAGAGCCCCCCTCGGCGGCTGCTCTCCCCGGGGACACCTTACCCTGCGCACACCTCCCGCACACCCCCGGGGAGAGCCCCGTGCAGCATCTCCTGCATTCACCGGCACAAAGGGATCCCCCCAGCTGCGAATGTGCTAACATGCCACCAATTTTATTCCCAGTTCCCATTGCCGTTTCATCTGCGGAGAGCAATTATAGCTCAGAAAACCTCTGCATCGCCGTGTTGTGCGGGTCGTCCTGGGGAAAGCTCTCACTCCATCCATCCCCCAGCTGCACCGCTGCAGCCTGCTAATGCCCGTCCTTCATCTCCAGCCAAACCAGAGCAAAGCCCCCTCCGGAAGGCCCTCCTCCAGCAAGCAGGACGTGACCTGGCTGATGGGGACATGGACACTACCTTGAGTTTTTAGTCACTGCTGGCGGGTCACAGGGAATGCGAGGAGGGGAGCTGTGAATTTACTAACATTGGTAAGTGGAGCAAGTTTCCACCCGCGGAACTTCTATCCTTTCTTCAGCTGAGTTGAGCTTTCAGTGTCCTAAAGCTCCTCACACTAACTCAAAAGCAGCATAAACCCCAGGGTTCCTGCAGAGAAAACTAAGATTTTTTCCTCCCAGTGATTTTCCAAGTGCTTTCCAGGGTGGCAAAGCATCACAAGTCATTACAGCACGGCTTCCAGACGCTTTCTTCCATTTGCTCTACAACATACCAGGAGAGCATTTGACACTTGAGTTTGCTTTTCTTTAAAATGTAAAAGCGAGGGTTTCTTCCACTGTGAAGTGACAGGTTATTTTTTAAAATAGGTGCCTCCCCAAACAGCCCTGTTGGTGCCCGTCCCCCCACAAAGGCTGAGAAGCTGCGGGGAGAGGGAGGAGAGGGAGGTGTGGGGAGAGGGGAGGCACTGAGGAATAGTGGGGACGGAGGTCAGCGGGATGGAGGTCAGCAGGACGAGCTGCGGGTCTGCCCGTGCCGCCCATCTGGCGGGATCTCTCTGCAGCCCCCGGAATTACCGGGGAGTTTTCAGCTGGGGGTGACCGAGGAGATGGAGCGCGAGCGGCGCAGGCCGTGTGTCAGAGCAGGACTCGGGGAGATGCTGCACAGCCGGCACCGGCAGGAGCTGCCCCCGCCCGCAGGCACAGACCATCACTGGGAAGGTGACGCTTGTCATGGGCGGCTCAAAAGCACGGGGGGACAAAGAGGGAAGGTCTGAGCTGGACGTCTGCAGGAGGACAGGGTGCTGAGGAAGAGGAAGCAATTCTCAGAGCTCACAACCATCCCCCTACTTTGCGACGGAGCTGTCGGCGTGGCCAGTGCGGCGCTCGGGTTAATCCTCTCTCACAGTCTGTTTGAAGAGAGGCAACTGGGAAAGCTGGTTTATTTAATAGTTGTGAAGCACATGGTGCAACCAAAGTGATTTCTCCAGAAGCCCGGACACCGCCTGGACTACAGGGAAGAAGCGGGACTCCGCTGCCCGGTGGGTTCCCTGTCCCATGGCCGTCCCCGTGCAGCTCTGCCGAAGCGAGTGTCTGAAGGAGAGCATTGCCCCCGACCGTGTCCCAAGTACTGCAGCACACCCACTGCTATTTGGGGTTATCTGACAACTGAAAACAGTTTTTCCTGGCTGTAGCGGTTCCTGGGAGCCTGATTTATCCTGCAGGGTCTCTGGCAGGACGCTCCTGAGGACACGGGACAGGAGAAAGCAGAAACGGGGGGAGGGCAGTGGGGGTTCAGCTGCGCCAGCAGGAAGGTTCCCATCCCAAGGGGCTGTGCCTTCGGGCTGCGCCTTCCGCTCGGCAGCACGGAAGCTCTTTCTGAAGTCCAGCCTAAATTTTCCATCTGATCTTGGCTATCTCCGCTCACCCTCCCCGGACCTGTGCAAATCAGAGCTGACACCATCTCAAGAGGTACAGAGAGCTGTCACATCCCACCACGGCCCTCCTCCCGCTGAGCTGGGGCTGTCCCCCTCGGGGAGACGGGAGGGTCTGTGGGGTAAAACTCAAAGCAGCTGCCACACGCTGTTAAACTGAGCTGGTTTGCTCCCGGCGATTAGGGCACACGTCTCACGCCACACTGTGGGTGCCAAAACGGCTCCTGTCCAGCAGGAGGGGACGGGCAGATGTTGCGTGGCCCCGAGCTCCAGCCAGCGGGTCCCCAAGCCTGCCGGCCAGGCGGGAGGGAGAGCGTTCCCGTTGCAAGGAGCGTACCCGGCACTCGGTGCCAAACTCGCTGCTCATCTTGAGCAAAGAATCATCTTCCCACGCCTTAATCCTACCACCTGCAAGTTTTAAAAGTCACATCTTTCCTCCCGTTGCCTTCTAGCCGGTGTCTGGTTCTTCACTGTACGCTATGAAGGTGTAGTACTCTCTTTATACGACAAAGCCAAGGGAAACACTACGCAGTTGGGTTATTCCAACTCATTGTCTGGTGAGATGTGACTTCGGTCAGGCCTTGACGTGTTTCCATCAACGGGATTTAAGAACAAGATAATTCACACTGCATTTGTTGTAAATAGTTGCCCGAGAGGGACCCGAGCAAAGCCTGGAGATGTGCACTCTCAGGAGAAGACGAGGTCATCTCCACAGCCGGGAGCATCCCCGGAGCTGCCCCTCTCCTGCTCCGGAGAGGAGGGCTCTGCTGGGGCAGGGATGGGACCACCTCTGCGCTTGCGCGGGAATGGGGGAAAGAAAGGGAAGAGCACCCCAGCAGGAGGGAGCCTTACATCTCACTTTATGTTTTAATTTCAGGTCCTTTCTGTATTGTTTCTACTTTTCAACAGCAAGGTCCGCAGCACGCCCTGAAATAACACTATTGATTTCCAATGCTACCTCATGTATTTTCATTATTATAGCCCCAATATGTTACTAGTTGGTTTTAATTAAGGGATTCCCGTGAAGCACATGGACCGTACGCACTCACAGCAGAGCAGCCGAGTTGTGGTACGGGCTTTAGCCGAGCACAGCACAGAGCAGCACACACAGACACACGCAGCGCCGACCCCCCGCGCCCCCCAGGCCGTCCCCCTCGCTGGGGTTCAGCTTTGCTTGTGGAGCGGCACCGGTGCCTGCATGGCTCCGCGGTGACGGCTCATCCCCGAGTCACCGCCAGCCCTGCTGCGGCACCGGTCCCCCCGCGCTCGCACACCCGCAGCCGCACACACACAACCGTACCCAGCGGCGCAGGGCAGAGGGCACATCGGCGAGCGACGGACAGTTTCTAGAGGTGGATGGCGCCCTGCAGGTTCCCCCAACACCCTCGGGACACTGCTGGGACTGAGACATTTGCAGGAGCTTAATTCAGGACTTTGCACAGGGCGCGTGGCAGTGACCCGACACTTCGGTTCATCAGATTCACACGCTGCTAACCCAGCAAAGTCCCACTTACTGCCAGGCCAGAAGATGCTAGAAACATCTTTCCCAAGTAGCCTTTACATATATTACACGCATCAAGAAGCGAGCAATGCATAAACCAGCTGCTCAGCACTATACTAAGGTATATGTCTGCAGCATCCTCTCCAAATTTGCTTTCAGATGGACTGTTCTACTTATTAATCTTGGTTTTTTCTCACTTAACTCTTTGAAACTGAAGCTATTACTTGGTTCTGCACCAATCACCTGTAAATCAGGGGATAATTCTGGGACACTGTCCCCGATGCGGCGCTGTGGCCCAGGGATGGCCGTAGTAACCGCCGTGGGGCTGCTCCACGGCTGCTCAGCCCCCGCGCGGGAGGAAGAGGGGGCAGATTGTTTTGCCCAACCTCATGTGGCTTCCCCTCAGACAATCTGTTTACTGTAGAGCCGCTGTGGAGAGGAGGAACGCCAGCTCATGTTCAGTGGTTTATAAATAGGGTGGGAAATAGGAAACCTTCACTCCTCAGCTTTCCTGTCAGAAATCTCTTCCTTGAATGTGCTTTATAATTAAAGTCAAATTCAGCTTAGCTGCATTTTAAGCTCCTTTTACATCTCCCACTCACAAGTATCCCTTCCTCCTGAGTTTGCCTAACTTACATCAAATCATTTTTTCCCCATTGAATTCACGGTACTCTTAGCTTATAGCCCACAGTTTACTTTATACCATACAACCATCACCCAGGAGATACCAACTCACCTAAAATGAAAGGAACAGCAGGCAGGGGAATAAAACAATTCCAGAAAAAAAGTAAGCAGTTATTTACCATCCCATGGTTGGTTCACCTTTCAGTCTCATCTGCAGCTTCTGACCCTGTGCACTATCCCAACAGACGGAGCGCTGCAGTAGCAGCGCAGAGGCAGGAGATCGCGGCCTGAGGGGTCACCGCGACGCTGGCAGCAGCTCTGCCCCCACTCCCTGGGGCGAATGAAGGAAGCTCCGGGGCTTGAGCTGCCCTCCCAGTCCCTACCGAGTGCCTGGCCAGAACCCCATCCCTACAAAGACCTCTTCAGCGACACGTGCTCCAGAGCTGGCAGCAGGTGCCAATTCCTGTATCACCTACTGGAAGGGCTACAGATAAAAAAAAAAGGATATTTTTTTTTTTTTTTAATCTAAAGAAGGTTCAGCAAACATACCTGAGATCTACAGGTCTGTTATATGCTCCCATCGCTCCTCAGCCTCTCCACAGCTCTGAAAACAGCCCTGGCCACCCCAGGGCAGCAGAAACACCCGCCGCAGGGCAATGAGGGGGAGGCAATGCCCGGTGCAGCGCAGGGCCTGCAGGTAGGTGCTGCTTCTCACCATCTACTTAAGAGTTTATAAAAGAAGTTTTACTTCAATCAGTAGCTTCTTGGCCATTAACCCTTACAGAGACCAGCCCCCACCCTCCACGCTCCCTTCTGCTCGTTTGTGCTAACGAGGCATGTGTTATTGCTTATTTTTATGATTGGGTGATGTATCTCATTAATTAGCTCTGCATGAATCAATAGGAGCCACTGAACGCATAATCCTTGGTAATTCATAATGCTGTAGTGGAGGAAACAGTGTCCTTAGTATTAAATAAACAGTGATCACTATGATAAATCTTGGAATTATCACAAAACATCAAAGCGTTGGGCTTTGGTGTGAACAATTAAGTGCTTAGGTCACCGCTGAGCAGAGAAGCGGTACGGTTACACCCATTGTCACTTACCACAAAGGTGTGAAGCACAATACAATGACTAACATGCATTTTTAATTGGATTTTAATCTATTAATAAAGTTTTCCTATTCCACCTCCTCTGTAATTGGAATGGTCTTCAAATTTCCCCTTTTCTGATTTCCTGAACTAATAATTTACCCACTTTAATTTGTGATTCACTTAGTTTGTTTAGTCATAATAATGAATATTCAGCTTCATTAGTGCATATTTGGCTCAATTCATAGTGAAACGCGTTCAGCTCTGTCAGTGTGACAGTTGGAACGCTCCGCAGAGCAGCGGCTCCAGCTCTGTCGGGACACGCTGGCCATGGCACGTGCTGCTCCTCACCTCTCCCGGCGCGGGCGGGAGGTGGGAGAACGGGCCGGCGGGATGCCCCGTGGCGGGGTGGCCCTTCCCGGAGCTCGGTGCGGAGCAGGAGGGAGCCCGGCTTCCTGGGGGGTCCGCTCCCCTCTCGCTGCGCCACCCAAACCCCTTTTCCCGCAGAGGCAGAGGTCGGCACGGACGGGCTCAGGGCCCTCTCCGGTGTGAGCGCCGGCGTTTTCCCGGCGGGGACCCCGCGCCACAGCCACGCGCAGCGAGCCCGGCGCGCACGGTGTGTTCGGCCAAAGGCGCCCGTCACGGCTCCACGCAAGCTGCTCTTCCACGGGCATTGTTTCCTTTTACGAGATGGAAAAGATTTTTAATAGCTGATTTTGATCATTTAGGGGAATTTAAAATTCCTTTGCGTCCCTCTGCACCGCTGCTCTGTGCGGTGCTGTTTGTAAATTGGGAGTGTGGATGACAGGATAATAATGAAAGCATTTTTCAGAGCAGACCCTTTTGTCATTCTCGTCTTCTCTTTCATTCCCCAGAATAAAGTGCTGCTTTTAAGTCAGCAAATCTTTCAGCTGTAATTACCCTGGACGTTCAGGGTTGACAATTAAGAAATGGAAAAAAAAAAAAAGGGAAGGAAAAATAATCATTCATAAAAAAATTTTAACACTGCACATTTAGAAAATGCCTACCCTAGGCAGATGTCTCCCACCGTGAAAGGTGTTAGTCAAGGTAGATTGTGCAGGAATATGTAAAAAGTCCTGAGCTTTTTGGTTTTTTCTCACAAAATACGGGATCACGCAGAGGCAGCGGCTGCCCTCTCCCTGGGATGCTCTGGGGTGGGGGGTCCCTGCGCTGCGCTGCCGGGAACGCCCCGCGATCCCCCCTCCCTGCACGGTCAGCACAGAGCGACGGCCGAGACATCGATAAATAGGGGAAAAAACCCATCTCACCAAAAACGGACTCTGAAGTTATTGTCCGGAGCCCGGCCCGGAGCAGCCCGGGGAGCGGGTCCTGTCCCCTGTCCCCATCCCCGGAGCAGCCCCCGCGCCCCACCGCTCCCGCCCCCAGCACGCACAAACCCCACAGCCTGGCCAAGGCTGGGTTTTCCCTCTGTTTAACTGCATTAAAATAGGAAGATAAAAAGGCTAAAATAGGTGTCTAAATCTCCCAATTACATCTCCGGCTGCCCCGAGCACCAGCAGCACAGGGCAGCGCAATCACCGGGAGCACTGCACTCCCGTCTGCAGCACGCGCCGCCTGGAAACCCGCCCAAATCTATTACAGACCTTTGATCTTTTCCTACATAAAGGTTTTTCTGTAGAAAGTAGATGGGATTAAGCAGAAACAATTTTTCCAGAGAACTCTGGGTTGGGTTTTTTTTCCCCTTTCTCTGCTTTCTTTTAAAAAGAGGGGGGAAAAAACCAGAAGCTGCTCACAGAAAGACCCTGAGAAGGGTTTGGGGCTGTCAGCTCCTGAATGGAATCCATTGCGTTAATCAAATTCAGCATCTATCAGGAGCAAATTCTCAGCATGTGGCATAAAAATCTTGTAAAATTGAACTGTTAAATATTTAGGGCAGATGACAAACAATATGTCATAATATTTGCAGAATTGCATTTGCTATTCAGTGCATCATCTCACTTAAAGCCCTGATTTTTGGAAGCATCAACACAAGAATGAGAAACAATCAGTTGACTGCCGGTATTTGGTTACATTGTAAATGAAGTGTGGTATTCAATTTAGATTTTTTAAGTCTAATATTATATGCTACATGCCAGGTGAGTATTAACGTTTATTAGCTGGGGCTTAGCAATGAATATTTAAGAAGAATTTCATTAACATGCAATAATTGTAATTCTAATTGGGTTGAATTTTTATGTGAGGCTTCACTTTGTTGCAGGACACCTATTTCATATTTATACCAGGTATGTTTCTACTTCCAGGTAAAACAGGAGCTAATAACTGCTAGGGAAGGATGTCAAGTGTTGAGGAGTTTTATTCCCGATTTTGGTGGCAATAACTGGTAGGGAAGGAAAATGGGCAGAGAATAAGAATAAGGATAAGGATAAGGATAAGGATAAGGATAAGAATAAGAATAAGAATAAGAATAAGAATAAGAATAAGAATAAGAATAAGAATAAGAATAAGAATAAGAATAAGAATAAGAAGCCGGGGCCAGCCAAGCTGGGCAGTTGTTGGGAAGAGCGAAGGTCGCTCAGCGTTACTGCTCCTCCTCTGCGAGGTCCATCCCTACGCGCAATTTTCGTGCTTACGGATGAGTTCTTACATTCAGCCGTAGGTGGAGGTTTCGGGTTCGGCGCAGCGCGCTGGCTGCTCACCGGCCGGGGGGTGCGGGTGGCACAAAGGCGGTGGCGGCTGCGGAGCCCGTCCGGGGTTCAGTGCGCTCCGGCGCCTGCCGGCAGCTGCCATCGCGTGCAGCCCAGAGATTTGCAAATTCCAGTTTAACCGAGAAGGCACGTTTTTTCCCCGAAATAGTGTTCTCGGTTTTCAACACCCTGTATTCAGCTTATGGTAGATTTTCACAAATTAACGAGTGGGACCCAATTTGCACTGGGATAAGTGAGAAGAGCCTTTGCTGCTGGGGCGGGGGCTCTGCTCTAACGCTGTCAGCGCTCTGCGCGGCGCGGGCGATACGGGAGAGTGCGCGCAGGGAGACGCGGTGCCAGCGCTGAGCTCCGCCACGCGTAATAGAGACAGATCTGAAGGGTTTTATCATCCTGCAGGGTTTGTTACGGGCCCGGTCAATCAATAAATCCCGGGCCGGGATTTATTTCAGTTGTGGCCCCGCTCCTCCGCTTGGTGTGTCGCGGGAGCTGTGCGCCAGATGGACACCACATCCAACACTAGATTACACCGCAGGCCAATAAAACACAATAGAAAAATATACTTACAGCTGTGTTGCCTAAACCCTATATTATACATCCGTAATAATTTTAAGCTTTCAGACCTTTTTTTTCTCCCATATATTACAGTTTAAAACTTGCTTATAGCCTGAAGCGCGACCATAAAAATGACATCGGAGCACGCCTGATTTATTCGGTCACCGGTGATTTCCAGGACAAGTTTGCTGAGTTTGCAGAGTCTCAGCAAGGTTTGGGGGAGGGGGTTGCTCAAGGCAGGCGAGAGCCCTGGGGGGGTCGGTCCCCTCCTCAGGCAGGTCTGGGATGGGGCTGGACCACGGTCCCATCCAGCCGCTCCCCCCCAGCGGGGGCAGGAGTAGATACTGCGGTTGAACCCGTCCCTGTGGCAACGCACACGCAACAGACCTGAGTTGCTGACTAATCCGTGCGAGCCCGAGTATTTGGTGAGGTGGCGGATGCAAGAGCGGCTGGAACGCGGGTAGCCCACAGCTTGCAGGATCTGCCCTTGGCAGGGAAGTAACTCTGCTCCGAGTGAAACCACAGAGCCTGTGGGAGCCGTTCCCCGTCCCGCGGAGGGCGTCTGGTGGGCTGGGGTGGGTGGCACTGCGCCCCAGCGGGTTTCTCGGGCTGCAACGCACTGGTCACTTGTGGAGATCTGCATTGTGCTGTCAGCTGTGTGTTGCGGAAATCAAAAGTTTCCTGGCATCTTCATTGCCCTTATCTCGACGGGGATCTATTCCTAGGAGATTATGATGCTGCTTTTTTTTTTTTTTAATTAATTGAGCCCGCTTAAAAAATAAAAATGCCCTTTTCATTTTAATCATGTATTATGCAAATTAAAAATGTAAATATCATTAAGAAATCTGTTGCTAACTTAATTTATTTCTGCTGTAGCACTGCTGAAGGCCTTTGATCTCAGATTAGCGCTTTGATCCGCTGCCTTGGTCGGGGTTACGCACTGCTGCTGTGGTAAATGCTCTTCCTCAGATGTAAAACATGCAACACCAGAACAGCTTGTTCAAAGAAATGGCAGAGGAAACATTGCCAATTAGGCCAAGTGAGTAGGAGTTGCAAACGAGAAGTTTGTTTCTAGAAGCCGCAAGCCGTGCCGGTGTGCCCGGCAGTGCCCCAGCGCCGCGGGGATGAGCCGTGCCCGCACCGGACACGCGGACCAGGACGCAAACGCCCGTGGGAAACACACCAAACCCACACGGCCCGCGGACCCACCGGGAAATTCCTGTTAGAGGCGGCATCCCTGTCCAGACCATCCCTGTCTGCTGCTCATTAAAAAAACAAGCCGCCATATTCCATTAATTTCTCATTTAGCACGAGTAAAGTGCTGATACATACATTTCAGCTATAGCATTTTTAATCAGTTAATTTAACCAGAAACATTAATAATGTATTTCTTTGCCACTTGACTGCTCATCTGTTAAACGGCTTATACATAGGAGAAGAATGTCACCCCCTGTGACATGAAGTACCTAATACAGTGCAAATGAAATAGGATTTTGCATATTCAATATCAAAACGAGAAAAGAGGGAAACGCCGTCTCTGGGGAGTGGATGGACCTGCTGTGACGGGCTTTCTGTCCTGGCAGGCGGGAAAATCCCTCCTGACGGACACGCATTCTGCATATCTGATTTTCTGCTTGAATTCCTTTTCTTGGCATTACTCAGCGAGTACCTGGCCATCCGTTATGCTGCAGAACGTGGTGGAGTGCGAGGTGCCGGGAGCGTTGCTCGGGGTCAGCTCCCCCCGCCAGCCCCAGCGGGTCCCCGGACCCCCCGGGTGGGGAGCAGCGCTGGGGGACGGGCTGGGAGCCGGGAGCCGAGCGCGGGACCGACCCCCTCCCACATTCGGCTCAGTGATGAAGTCTCCCGGCGGCGGCTGTGCGGCAGTGCCCACGGAGGCTGCTGGCG